GGCCCATCGTAACTCTGGAGCTTTAGCCTAGATGAGAAAACTTTTACCTTTATGGTTCGTGTATGGACATAAAGCTGGGTTTTTTTTTTTTTTTTGGTGGGGACAGCAGTGAAATGAAGAGCCATTAAGATAGATTTTCGTTGTTCACTGAAAAACTCTTTTGTATCCTGCATATTTTATATTCTGTGTGACAAGTTTGAAATACTTTCTTCTGTTCTATCATACAAAATCCCAAGAATTGACAAAAACCTTTATGGCCGTAAAGTCCATAAAGGTGACTGAAAGTGAAAACATGTAAGTGGTGTAAAAAATATTTTGGAAAGCACAGTATATTTTCTCAATGTAGATTTTTTTTTTTTAACTTCAAACTAAAATATAATCAGCTCTCCCTTGATTGGTAACCAGGGAACATCCACCTCAGCAATTTGGTTCAGCCTGTTTGATGACAACTCCAACTACTGCAGCCTCCGCAATATCATCACTGGTAAGAATTCAAACACTTGTACACTAGTAAGTATTTCTAGGCCCAGTTTTCTAAGCATCTTTTTAATTTTAATCTCTTCTTTTTTTCTGTCTGAAAAGGAAGTGGACTGGACAAAGCTTCAGGCTTCCTGGAGTTGACCAATGACTGGCTCTGTCTTGGCTGCGAACAGTCGGCCTGTTGAACCTTCCCAAGTCCTAAAATGAGTGTGGAAATTTCAATTATATCATATAATTCAGCAAATCTGTTAAATAAAAGCCTCCTTTGTGTTTTTGTCATTTCACCACTGACCATCTTTACTGTGACAACCATGCTTCCAGGACTAAAGCGGAACAATCTGCTGCACAGTCATAGCTGGAGGTTGGATTTATGATTAGTATTTGAGCTTTAAACCTTTATAAGCTAAAGGGTTCATTAAAAAGTGTGTTCTGTACAATAATATTCTGACATGATGGAAAACCAGAAAGGGCACCAAAAAAATAAAGGTAAAAAAACATGAGGCACTATTAAAATGTAGGTTTTGTACACTAGCAAACATAATGTATTTGTAATTTGTGCACTTTTATAGTGCTCTTTACTTTTCCCTGTCCTGTCTTGATTCTTAGTACAACTCATATTATCAGCATTACATTTGGTTGTATACTGCTAAAAAGGGTTGAAAATTAGGTCTCAACCTATGCTAAAAACTGATATAAAAACGTTATAGTTGTGGAAAAAGAAAATGTCAACCAAGAGTAATGTTGACAAAACTAACCCAAAACATAATTCTAATGGGAACCTCATTGATCTGTAGATCTTAATGCAAAATAAGAGAAAAGCATAACCATACCCCCTCTAGGTCATAACAGTATCAGCATAGCTGCGATACAAAATGACACAAGTGGTTTATTATGGGACAGTCCCTTTAACAGAAGCTCTGACACAAGCAGTCAGTTTTAAGGCATCAATGCAGAGTTTCTCACAAAATGTGTCACATGTATCAAATAAATGTATAAAAATGTATCAAATATTGAGCATATTACAATAGCATAGCATTAATGTAGTATTATTCATTGTGGCACCACACCCAATTATCATTTAATTTAAAGCAATCTTTTTATCATTTCACACACACGCCAGCTTAAGAACACTAAAAAAAATCAACAAATCTTTTTTTTTATTGTTTTTTTATACAGAGCCTGTTGTTCTAGAATAGATGAAGTAATATAGGCATCAATCCAATGTTGTCATCTGGCGCCCTCTGCAGACAGGCATCGTGCAACGTCCATGTGAAAAAATAGATAAATCTGATTGTCTCAATTCAAAGTGGGTAGAAAAAGTTGATGTTTCTGCTTTTTTTTTTTTTTTTGCATCCAATTATACAGATAATAATAATAATAAAAAAATTTAAATAATTGTTGGTTTTAGTCAAGCAATGTCATTATTTTAATATTTTTGCAATCTTCTATAATTCAAGGGTTTAATTAAAGTTTTGTATCCAAGGAAACGTAGCTGATTGCATTGAGTCATTGACTTTGCAGGATTTAGGAAATATATCTGAGAGAGATTCGCTTGCATTGACTCTACAGCAATCCCTCACACTGAGCATGCTTGTAGCGACAGTGGAGAGGAAAACTCCCATGTAACAGCAAAAAAAACTCCAGCAGAACCAGGCTTGGTGTGAGCGGCCATCTGCTGAAGCCAACTGCGGGTTCAAGAGACAGACATTGAATTCGCAGACACACTGTTATGTGGTTCATATAATGTTCCAAAATTTTCCAACACAACTCAGTGCTGTCAGTGAATTTGAAAGGATGCTGGCGAGACAGAGGTTAAAAAAAGAAAATCGATTTCTAATTTCTCCTGCAATTTTCGGTGGCTATTTACCAATAATGTTCAATGATTATTTTACTGACCATGGATTTTATCATAATAATAATAATAATGATAATAATAATACATTTTATTTAACAGCGCCTTTCTTGACACTCAAGCATTTTATTACGAGCATTTGTCCCTGATCAAAAACTTTGAGGGGAAACAATATTCTCCACTTTGTAGATTAGAGTACAGAACGTATTGATAGATAAAAATTAAGTGCTTAAGCAATATACTGTAAGTTATTGTACTATAAGTTACTGTACTATACCTCCATAACTGTACTAAAAGTTATGGAGGTAAAGAAGAAAATCAAATGTAGGGGCCAATCCTCCTATGGGGAACAGGCCAACTGACCCAGGACAGACAGCTACACAGACACACAGAGACAGATACTTTATTAATCCCCACTGGGAAATTCAAGGTTTCAGTAGCTTTCAGCCAGTGTGTCAGTGTGTGAGTGTGTTTGAAGGGGTTGAATAATTGAATGTACAGTAGTATAAAGTGCTTTGATCAAGTCCTCTGACTTCAAAAAGCACTATATAAGTACAGGCCATTTACAATTTACAGACATTGCACACAACCAGCACTAAAAGCAGAAAAATTAATATAAGAAATATTTTACAAAAGACATCGAGACAGTAAAAAATAAAACATAAAAACTACTAGAAAACTAAATACTAAATATAACACATAAACTAAATCAAATATCAACAATCAACTACCTAAAAACAGTGTATCCAAACACAGTTTAGATCAGAGTCCTGCACCGGGCCGGGTAGTTGGTACCCGTATAAAGTGTACATCTACGGGTAGGGAAAAAAAAAACATATTATTTCACGGATGCGGGTATATGAACAAAATATGGGTATCATAGAGTTACAGCATGTATGAAACTTATTTATATTTTCTCATTTATTAATTCTACATCTTAAAAAATAAATTAATTCAAGAATATCCAGATAACAGTATTTTTTTAAGCAATGAAGCAAACTCTACCAATTTACAGCTGTTAATCTGTGAGCGCAGTGCACTCTGGATGTGAGTGTGAGGCAATTATCTTTTCTGCGTCTCTTATTATAAACGGCTGTGTGTTCACTTTGTGATCATGGGTCGTTGCATTTTATTATGTACAGATCCTTGCACTACCGGCCTGGATTTTAATGAGGATAATTGCAGGTAACGGGTCGGGTCTTGGTTCTGAACTCTATGGGTGCGCGTGGACCCAGTTTTGAAAAATCAGACCTATGCAGGATTCTGGTCAAGACCAACTCTAGGAGGGACCACCACCCTCACCCCCACTCCACATTATATATGTTGATATTTTCTCCTTTTATTCACATTTTATTCTGACCCATTACAGATCATTCAGAAAATTCCAATAAGACGAATGACATTTAAAGTCAGTAGATTATTGTGGTTTACCATTATTTTCAAGCCTGGCAATTAATGAGCCATTTTATTGCTAGAATTAACAGTGGGATAACTGATTTTTAGAACTATAAAGTAGGATGTATTCATAGCTTACATTAGCTAAAATGTATATCAAATAGTGAATTCATATTTGTATCCAACAGGCTAGAAGCTATAGAAGTTCATTAGCCATCTGTTATCTAAATGGAGGTGGATGATCCAAGTACAGAAAGAAAAAAACCCTGCTTCCATTAATCAGATTTTAAGCCCCCAGTCTGGATTATCCACCTCTGTAGCTAAAACATGTAGACTAATTTTGCAAAATGTCTCTAGAACACAAAGTCTAATTCTTTCCTGAACAATCTGTTGGCGAGGCACCATTACTCTTTTATATTAAAATACAAGTTACATGTGTTAAACAGATGAATTTAGCACATTCAGGCATCTGGGGATTATATTATAATAATGATAAGCTAGATTTGTGGAAGTACACTATTCTCTTCCTTAAATGTTACTGGAGTTCTTTGCTATTTTCTATTATGTATCACAAAGAAATAGGGTAGCAGAGAATTTACTTTTAGTTGAGATTAGCAAAGTAAAACTAATAGAGTTTAAACATCTCAGATCACTTGCACAGTGTGCATACAGTATGAGAAAAACAAAACAAGAACCACAAGTTATATCCTGAATCAAATCAATTTAATGCTGACAAGGCCTCTGTCTTCTACTTCTTTACTGCACAGTTAACCTGTGTTAGTCATGGTACAAACCAACAATGCTATCACAAAAAGTCACATTGAGAGTCATATGAGCATGTCACCATGAGAAAAACAATCCCTGGATAAATTATGTACTTCAAATTTTTATTTATGTTCTAGTCAGAAGAAGAATGTAGCACAGGCTGCAAAAAACAATGTGTAAAATTATAAGTTTTTACAGATTTTACATTTAGTTCAAGCAGATTTATAGATAGATCTTTCCTGAGGAGGATGCTGTCAACATTTCAGTAAAAATCATTTTAATCGTATTTTGTCTCTACTAATGAAGAGGATGACCTGCAAAGAAAGATAACTGCCCCATGGTAATGGGAATCAGCCTAACTTATTAATGTTTATCAGTATGTCTGCTGCTGTGCTTTAATCCCACCAGGGGCAATTCATTTGAGCAGTACATGAGACAAACAAACAAACAAAAAAAATAAAAAATAAAAAAATAAACAAATAAAAACATGTAATAACATAAAAATAAGATGATTAAAAATGTGACAGGGAGCTTGAGGATCAAAATTAATAAAAGTAAAAACACAAAAAGACAGTAAAAAGACAACAATGATTGTTTTTTTTTTTTTTTAAACACGTCAGGCACCCTTCATAGAATTTAAAAGTCAAGTGGCTGTTGGTATAAAAGAATTTGCATAGTGGTTTGTGTCAATGTGAGGCATTGCATAGCGGTGTCCTGTCCAAAGATAATTCATTTTGAGAACATGTTCTCAAATTGTTCTGCACATTGGTGCAGTGGGTAGCACTGCTGCCTTGCAACGATAAGGTAGCGGGTTCAGTTCTCAGCCCGGGGTCTTTCAGTGTGGAGTTTGCGTCTTCTCGCTTGGCGTCAATGGATTCTTTATGTGCACTCCTGTTTCCTCCTACAGTCCAAAAACATGACTGTTAGGTTAATTGGCTATCTATCTGTGAATTGTTTGTATGTCTCTGTGTTGCCCTACTATAGACTGGCAACCTGTTCAGGTTGTACCCTGCTTCTCGTCCATTGAAAGCTGGAGATAGGCACAGCAACCCTCACAACCCCAGCTGGGATAAAGGGTGATGGAAAATGGATGATCTGATGAAGCTTTTTTTTTTTTCAAATTGTTCAATTGTTCTTGTTCAATCCTATGGTTTTAGAACAGATTTCATAGTATATAAAAGAATGACATGGAGAACAAGTCAGCACAATCGTTCTCACTTGTGTCACCATATAGGAGATTAAAACCTGAGGCTCACTTTGTGACACACAGCTATATTTTAATATAGTCTTGTTCAGACAGAGGACCATGGATGGAGGCTTCCTCAAACTCGTTTCCTGAGAATCTTTTCAATTTTACACCATATGCTCTCCCCATGTTGTCAAGACTAAATACCTAAGTCTACTGATAAAGAAAATATGTTTGGCACAAGTGACTTTATTATTATTTCAGGATTCATCAGTATTAAATTTTGTTAAATTTAGGCCTGATCTGTGTCGTTGCCCTTAATAATGGAATCTGGCACATTATTGTGATGGAAAAGGAAAACAATTATATGGTTTTAGAAATTATAATTTAAAAACTGTGATATACTTTTGTGTTAACATCTTTACACTTCTTTTATCTATTACTGGTACCCTTAAAAAAAATCCAGTCCATTCATTCATGGTTTAATGTGAGAAAGCCAGAGAACCTGGAGAAATGAATGCATCAACCGAGATTAGACTTAGACTTCCTTTATTGTCATTGCACAAAAAAAACACAAGGTAAATCTTGACAACGAAATGTCAATTACTTGGCTAGCAGTGTAACAGAGCTAAGACCTTATTCCTGCACAATAAATATGTTTTCTATGAGTGAGAGCTAGCTATATACACGGTAAGAATATATATATATATATATATATATATATATATATATATATATATATTTATATATATACATACATATATATATTGCACTGAGTTATTGAAGAAGTAACATCAATAAATAAATATTGGACTTAGTTATTGAATATTGCACTGAAGAGTTATTGAAAAAGAAACATTAAATTGATGACAAAACTAAACTAAGGTGCGTGTATTATCCATGTCCATAGGGCGTGGTTTTAGTGATTACATCCAAACTCCATGCCTAGGGCAAATTTTCTGATCGGTTTTATGACAGACTGAGCAGAAAAGGAACCAGAATGGAGTCAGCATGGCTGTAAGCCTGGTCTGGAGCAAGCTATCTGCACAGAATAAAACACCATGACAACTTATGTGTTATTGCTTCCATAAAATCAAGATGAGGCCAGGCTGTCTGGAAAGTCTCTGCTTAATGCCTTTATCATGGTTTCATGATATAGACCATATTAATACTAATAATAATAAAACTAGAAAATATATAACAATAACAAACACTAAGATAAACTGATATAGAAAAACCTTAAAAAACAAGAAAATACAAGAAAACAGAGACATAGAAAGGAACCTAAAATAGAATTTTAAATATTATGACACCCACAAACTGTACTTTATATAAATACTACATGCTACATTTCCATTTACATATTTTCTTTGCCTTCTCCAAGTGCTCTAACTTGTCTTCAAAGAGTTTTCCTTTTACTTTCCCTCTATGAGAGTTTTATAATTCTTTAAGGGCATACTTGAAAGATACTTATTTTAAAGTGCTTTTAATTTCTGTCAGCATTTTGTGTGTTCATTTTTTTTATTTATTTTTTTTATTTAACCTTTATTTAACCAGGAAGTCCCATTGAGATTCAGAATCTCTTTTTCAAGAGAGACCTGGCCAAGGTAGCAGCCAACCCACAAACCCTCATTCTGAGCAAAGCGTCATTTAGTGAGAGTTTAGTAACAGCAAGGAGATAATCTTGAAATAATTTCTGAATTAAAAAGCAAATGACATAAGAAAATGAGAAAAACAGAAATTAGGTTATTTACATTCAGATGTTGCATTTTTTTGATTCATATGAAGGACAGAGGCGTTTGTTGCAGAACTCCTTGTAGCCAGGGAACTTGCTGAGACCACTTTCTATTGTGTGTACAAAGGAGAGATAAATTGAATAATCACACACATACACACTTATGACCAGTGATTTAATCAAAATATAATGTTGATATAATTTACATACCATTAATAACATTTTGGAGGTGGCAGTAAGGCTTTGTTTCTGAAGGAGATAAATTGGTGGCAAGGCCCTGTGCAGGGTTAATAAGCAGCTTTAATTCAGACAAATGCATGCAACTTAAATTGGCATAGCACCTGATTTGATTCCACAACCAAAACAAATAAAAACTGGATACTTACCTTCATTAGGCAGAAATATGGAGATGTAGTTGAACTGAATGTAAAGACGATATTTGCTATTTTACCGAGAAATGGGTAACAACACTCTAATTCAAGATAATAAGGAGCAACCTGTATAACCTGAAAGTAAAACACAAATCATTTAAGGTGTAAATGTGATAAACAGATAATGATACAAATTAATAATAATTCTAAATCCCCACCCAGGATGGTGTAATTACCTTATAATAACACTCCTCCAAAAGAGCACAGGGATAAGGTATCAAAGCCTCCGCCTGTTCCACTTTGTGTGTTGGTGCAAGGAGCCTTAAAAACCCTTTAAAAAAGGAAAAACTAATAAACATGACAAAAAGTCCCAAATATTAAACATAATATGTTATATAATTATAATACTTACCACATTGCTTTGCATGCCGATGGGTCTACAGCTGAAGAAGGCAGAGTATGAAGAAGCAGAAGGAGAGAAAATGCTTGGAGGAAAACTGTAAAACCCATTGCTGCAATGCTTAATGAAACTTTGATGAGCTTCCAGCTTCTTCTGAGCCTGAAAGCCTAAAGAAGAACCTTGTTCTAGTTCTTTAGCTCCTCCCAACCTCAAGCACATCACAAGATTATTTAAAAAGTACAAAAATTAATCACACAGTAGAGTGATTGTTACATCAAGAAAATTCTATTTATGGTGATTATCCATGCAAAAGGTCCAGAAACTCAACTATCAGTTGCTCTGATAGCTAAAAACATTTAACAAAGCAGCTGATACACTTTGCGTACTTCCCATGATTAGCATTTTGAAGTCATAAGATTCAACAGCACATGAACTGACCGTATCAAAATTTCTATTATTGATGAGAAACATGCTTTCTGATGCCGTATTGTTTGAACAAACCACAAGAAAACCATAGAATAAAAAAAATATAGAATCAAAATGGAAACTTATTTTTCTATTGTTGAGATAGCCTGAAAAATCTGAGCACATTATTATCAAAATGCTTTATTGTTAATAAAGATTTTGTAATGGGAACCTAGCTATACTCTATGCTAAAGTGTTGCTGTTACAGTATATCCAACTTTATATCTGAATTAAAGACATTTTTTTCTTCAAAACTATCGTCTTGGATATTTTTCTCATGTATGTTTTTATTATATAAGGAATGGATCTATTCCCTCCTTTCTGGTTGAAATATTTCCCAACCAGAGATGCAGGGAGAAATCATCTTGTGTTTACCCGCCCTGTTTTTCACTCATTCTCTATTTGGAACTAAAGCTTAGATTTTTGATTGGGCCACAACATCTCAAGCAGATATCTGGACTTAGGTCACCACAAATAATAATAAAACTTATGCAGAACTCAAGTGCATATTACCTTAAAATCACAATCTGGAGGCCGGACATTTTCCTATAGAATTTTCTGCTAGAGAACTGAATATGTTCCAAAAAAGGTTAAGAATGGATGAATTAGAGGTCCCCTACATAGCAATGGGTTTGGTATGATAGCGGGAAGGAATCAACTCTATCACTGCATTGATGATTCCTTCCCGTTATCATCACAACCCCCATAGCTATGTAGGACCAAAACATCTCGCCTGGTCAGGCAGGCCAACAATGACCCTAACGACTCCCTTTTCAGCGGCATGGGCCAGTATTGTGTCTTGCAGGTCAACAATGACCTCAAGGACTCCCTAATACTAAGGGGTGAACCTGTTTTTTTTGGTTCGGTTTGCATGTTTTCTAAGCTATAACACGGCTTTTTTTGGGCTACTCTATAAAAGCCTAGAATTCGATGCTAATCCAGACATTGTGAATTGAGATAAGCTTGCTGGATGGAAAGGGAAACGTCTTCAAACTGGGAAAACAAATTCCAGTGGTTTTTTTTTTTTTTTACTTTTTTAACCTTTTTAGGAATGACTATGACCTGGATGACTGAGAGAACTGAGAACTGAACCTATGCTTTCATAGTTTGCAGTAAATATTTGAGGCAAGGCAACCCCAGAGCATCATACTACCTTGATCGTGCCAGTTTAGGGTTCTTTTTCTAAAGCTCATGAAACACAACATATAACCAGAGGCACATCTTCCAAAATGATCCAGTTTGTTTTACTCTGCAGAATGGTTCCCCCAGACTCAACCTTTCCAGACTAACTGTAGTTGCTATTTGTTGTTGATGTCATGAATCTGGCTTTAAAATTAACTTAGCTTTTAATAACATTTGGTTAAAGGGGAACGCCATTTTTTTTTTACATTGTGCCCTTAATTTTACGTTATTACATCATGTTCTACTCACCCATTCTGTATGAGTTTTGTGTCATTTGGAGCTGTTCTGAAGAAATTCCGTTAGGTTATATAAGTAACGTCTTCCTATGGGCAACGATTTGAAGGCACGAACTAAACTATTAATAATTTATTATTTATGGTATGCCAGCATTCATAACATGTAGGTGAATCACTGTCCCCCAGAAATCCTTGGTTATATTTTTTATATTTACATTCTTTAAAAACAACGCGGAGTGTGTATGACGTCATCTGCGCGTGCCGGCTACCATTCATTCATCCTGTCCGCTGAACTGCTGCTAGTTTTACTCACATGCCTGGAAAATGTCTAGTGCTACTACCACAGATGATCTCTCTCTCGAAATGGAATTGAACAACTAAGATTAGCTTGCTGAATATATAAGAGGTATAGCCTGGTGTAATGTACATTGGTTAAATAAAGTTGTTTTTGAAAAAAAAAAAAAAACAGAAGAAAACTCCAGTCCGGTGTGCGGATGACGTCATACGCACTCGGTTTTGTTTTTAAAAGATATAAATATAAAAAATATAACCTCGGATGTCTGGGGGACAGTGATTCACCTACATGTTATGAATGGTGGTGTACCATAAATGATAAATTATGAACAGTTTAGTTTGTGCCTTCAAGTTGTTGCCCATAGGAAGATGTTACTTGGATATAACCTAACAAAATATCTTCAGAACAGCTCCAAATGACACAAAACTCATATGGGTGAGTAGAACATGAAGTAATAACGTAAAATCAAGGGGCCAATGTAAAAAAAATGGTGTTCCCCTTTGATCTCTGCTAATTCATGATTTTAAATGCCCTGGTTGATCCAAAAAAAAGAAACAATAATTAAAAAAACATTTTTTGTATTTAATCTTTGTCTGATATCAGTTTGTCTGAAATTAGCTTTATCTAAGACATTGAAGTCTGACAAAACAGCAAAAGTTTAATACATCTGTAAAAGGGTGTTGTGGCCTAACTAATATGTCTGGGAGGAGGTTCCTTTTAAAAGTCAAAGGCCAGATCTACATTATAACATGCAGCTAGTCCTTACAAAAAAAATAGAAAAATAACTTTATCGTCACGCAATTTCATTATGATCGATTGCTTTGTTTACTTGAAGAAAATTAGTAGAACTTAAGCATTGGTCAGACACTAACCACAAGACTTCTGTCACATACAATAAATCAATTTCAGGGCCATTTCTCCACCTCATGACAAGCTGGGGTATAAATTTACTTGTAGCGCTTTCATTCATTCATATTTTCCTGAGAGAAGAAGCAAACTGAAAAGACAGCGTCTCACTTCAAACGAAACCATGAACACCATTCTGCTGGCCTCTGCTCTGCTTTTAGGACTCTTCAGCTGTTCGGTTGCCTTTGCTGCTCCAACGCCTTTCCCCTTCCCCATACCCTACCATTCATTCTGTGGAACTTTATGGTGAGTGTAACCAACCTTTCTCTGTGCAATCTCTATTACATTTACTTTTTTGTTATTACTATATGTACTAAATCAAATTTCTTTTCCAGGCTGTTTGCCAAACCTTGTGCAGAAATCAGCACTAAAATCACAAAGCAAATCCAAGTCTTCAGCCCTGAATATATGGTAACAGAACAGAAAATGATGAAATAATGAAATTGATGAGCCTTGTGTCATGTTCTTTGATGGTTTGTTTTGCAGCTGATTGCGGCGACGCCTTCAACAATCAAAGCAAACCACACTTCCCCTGATGGCAGTGTTCAGAACATCAGCTTCTCTCTTGGTCCCACCATTCAGAGTGGAGGCTGCAGTGTTTCTGTGAGTATTAAAAAAAAAAAAAAATGTTACTGCTTATTTAAATAAAATGTTTAACATTTGTTTTCATTTTTTTGTCAAATGTGTTATTTTTGATTTTCTAAAAATAGAAAACTGAATCCTAAGGAGAAATATTCTTATTCAGCTTGAACAGTTGAATGTTATTAGTGTTTTAATAGTACACCTAATCCACCCTATAGGCTCTGTCCATCTCTCTTGGGTTCACCAGTCTTCTCGATGATGGCCTGAATTACTGCAACCTGAACAAGCTGCTGTCAGGTGAGTCATTAAAAAATGAAAGAAAGGTATTGATTTCATACGTGCATTTTTTTTTATAACTGAGCTACTTTTTCTTCAATGACGTTCTTCTAGCCAGTGGACTTAACACATCTTCAGGATTCATGGAATTGACAACTGAACTGGCCTGCCTGGGATATGGAACGACTACATGCAAAGTTTAAAGAAAGTGCTTAAGGAGATTGTTAGATGAAATAATTTAGATTTTTTTTTTTTTTTACCTGAAAAGATCAAATTCATTTTTCTTTTACATCGTTGAATCCACTTCAATGTGTATACTTTGAGAAACAAATAAAGCTAGAATATATTTCCTGTGTGCCACTGCTGTCTCATTACTTACATCATCTAGAATGCTATGTATATTATTAAGTTCTTAAAATATGTTAAAAAGAAAAACCATACTCTTAATTTTTGTTGGTTTGCTTAAAATTAATTGGGGCCTATCATAGCAAGGCAAGGAGGCCAATAATTTATTCAAAGTTAATTTCAAACCTGAACACATATATGTTTTTTCCCTTTTTAAAAAGATATAAGCACTGCTAATTATAATATCTTCCAAACTTACATTTGATAATCAAACACGCAGGTTACAGTATTTTACAATTACTTCACAAACTAGTATTTTTTGCACAACCACCCATTAAATGGAATCCCATTGAGGTTTCCAACTTAACATTAATTTTACACAGTTAAAAAAACAAAATAAAAATTGCACTTACATATTTATATTTGAATGTACATGAATATGCACTCTCACTTTAAATAAAAAGAAATCATTAGTTTTAATTAGATTTGGTTAGGTTATTTGGTGCTTTAACTTGCTAATATTGTAAATAGTATGTTCATTTTAAAAATAGGCTAAAATAAAAACAAAAAAATTAGATGACCTATGAGGATAGTTTACATATGCAACATATATTGCCTATAAGTAAAATACATTTAATGCTACATAAATTTAATGATTTGCCAAATCACTTAGCTAACATTTAGCGGTAATTGTGTGTTTACATTATCTGCAAGTACAAGCAACATTATTTAATTTTAGTATCTTGGACATTAGATATTGTAAGGCACTATTCTTGTAATCAATTTTACATGATGAAGCTATTGTGTCTCATTCTGTCACTAAATCACCATTTGATGCATTTGCATGTTCTTTAGTAGCATCATTT